TATACTGCATGAATAAGTGCTGCCTGTAATTCCATATAGGCGCTACTAATTTTTCCCTACAGTAACCTATCAGCCATCTGAAAGCAATAACATGACCTGAAAAGTCAAATCTTTGACCAAAAATAGAACTCAATTTAAAACCTGACATTGCATACGCATGTACATGTATGTCAATATTTTGAGTAGTAAAATGCACTTTGTTTGCTTTTACAAGTTGGAAGTCAGTACCACACAAGCAAAACACGTGAATCTGTAAACACTTGGCACTTGATCTACTGAGCATTTAAGCTACTGATGTGGCACAATCATCACCATAACTTAACCGTAACTTAACATAACTTAACTGCTACGTCGTGCCCATGCAGGAACAAACAATGGCATGTACATGTAATTACAAAGCAATGCTGTGTCCCTTTCGTGAGGACTCATTGTGAGCACGCACAGGTTGTTGCATATTTGCGACGGGCTGTGCTTACCACCCACAACCAATTTCTGTTGCATTGGAATGTGCGGTCTCCTCTTGTGGGCCAAGCAGGTGCAAGAGCCCAATGATAAACTTCTTTACGTTAAGGCGGACGGAGCAGTTTTACAGAAGGAATTCTGTAAAATTGTAAATCACTTGTAAAGTTGTTCGTATTTTCGGAAAGAGTTCCGTAAACGGACATCACTTGACACCCAGTACACAAACCCTATGCTTCAAGTTCAAGATTTTCAGTCCTACATGTACATTTAAATTTGACTTTGTAGTACATGCCATCACTTTCTGATGGTTTTACACTGCAAGGGAAAATAAGATACAATGTCCTTATTTGGAACTATTATTGGTCGCGGGTGACTGATTTTTACCAACAACAAATGAAATGGGCCTAGGCCCTAATCAAAAAGCCAATTTCCCATTCGATCACCATGCTGATTTTAGCACACCCCCCGCGAGTAAGTTAACAAAGCTAGATGGGAACCAAATGTCTACAACAATAACAATCATGACCATCCATTCGCCAAACGTTATGCAACATTTTTGTTATGAATTTGTTCCCCTCTGATAAATCTTCTGAGCATGCACACATGAATTGATGAAACGTGAAAATGTTTT